TCTATGGTGCAGTGTTGAGTCTGTGGGCAGTGTTGAGTCTATGGCAGTGTTGAGTCTATGGTGCACAGTGTTGAGTCTGTGGGTAGTGTTGAGTCTATGGGCAGTGTTGAGTTATGGGCAGTGTTGAGTCTGTGGGCAGTGTTAAGTCTATGGGCAGTGTTGAGTCTATGGGCAGTGTTAAGTCTATGGGCAGTGTTGAGTCTGTGGGCAGTGTTAAGTCTATGGGCAGTGTTGAGTCTATCGGTAGTTTTGAGTCTGTGGGCAGTGTTGATCTGTGGGCAGTGTTGAGTCTGTGGGTAGTGTTGAGTCTATGGGCATTGTTGAGTCTATGGGCAGTGTTTAGTCTATGGGGCTGAGTCTATGGGCAGTCTCGAGTCTATGGAGCAGTGTTGAGTCTATGGGCAGTGTTGAGTCTATGGGCAGTTGAGTCTCTGTGGCAGTGTTTTAGTCTATGGGCAGTGTTGAGTCTATGGCAGTGTTGAGTCTATGGGCAGTTGAGTCTATGGGTAGTGTTGAATCTATGGGCAGTGTTGAGTCTGTAGGTAGTGTTGAATCTATGGGCAGTGCTGAGTCTGTGGGCAGTGTTGAGTCTATGGGTAGTGTTGAGTCTATGGGCAGTGTTGAATCTATGGCAGTGTTGAGTCTCTGGGCGTGTTGAGTCTATGGTAGTGTTGCGTCTATGGGCAGTGTTGAGTCTGTGGGTAGTGTGAGTCTATGGGCAGTGTTGAGTCTGTGGGTAGTGTTGAGTCTATGGCAGTGTTGAGTCTATGGGCAGTGTTGAGTCTATGGGCAGTGTTGAGTCTATGGGCATGTTGAGTCTATGGGCAGTGTTGAATCTATGGGCAGTGTTGAGTCTGTGGGCAGTGTTGAGTCTATGTGGCAGTGTTGAGTCTGTGGGCATGTTGAGTCTATGGGCAGTGTTGAGTCTATGGTCAATGTTGAGTCTATGGGTAGTGTTGAGTCTATGTGCAGTGTTGAGTCTATGGTGCAGTGTTGAGTCATTGGTAGTGTTGAGTCTATGGGTGGCAGTGTTGAGTCTATGGCAGTGCTGAATCTATGGCAGTGTTGAGTCTATGGTGCAGTGTTGATCTATGGGGCAGTGTTGAGTCTATGGGCAGTCTCGAGTCTATGGTGCAGTGTGAGTCTATGGGTAGTGTTGAGTCTATGGGCAGGTGAGTCTATGGTGCAGTGTTGAGTCTGTGGGCAGTGTTAAGTCTATGGTACAGTGTTAAGTCTATGGTGCAGTGTTGAGTCTGTGGGCAGTGTTGAGTCTATGTCAGTGGAGTCTGTGGTGCACAGTGTTAGTCTGTGGGTAGTGTTTGAGTCTATGGGCAGTGTTGAGTCTATGGGCAGTGTTGAGTCTGTGGCAGTGTAAGTCTATGGGCAGTGTTGAGTCTATGGGCAGTGTTAAGTCTATGGGCAGTGTTGAGTCTGTGGGCAGTGTTTCTATGGGCAGTGTTGAGTCTATCGGTAGTTTTGAGTCTGTGGGCAGTGTTGAGTCTGTGGGCAGTGTTGAGTCTGTGGGTAGTGTTGAGTCTATGGCAGTGCTGAGTCTATGGTGCAGTGTTGAGTCTATGGGCAGTGTTGAGTCTATGGTGCAGTGTTGAGTCTATGGGCAGTGTTGAGTCTATGGGTGGCAGTGTTGAGTCTATGGTGCAGTGCTGAATCTATGGGCAGTGTTGATCTATGGTGCAGTGTTGAGTTATGTGGCTATGGTGTGAGTCTATGGGCAGTCTCGAGTCTATGGGCAGTGTTGAGTCTATGGTAGTGTTGAGTCTATGGTGCAGTGTTGAGTCTATGGTGCAGTGTTGAGTCTGTGGGCAGTGTTAAGTCTATGGTGCAGTGTTAAGTCTATGGTGCAGTGTTGAGTAGTGGGCAGTGTTGAGTCTATGGGCAGTGTTGAGTCTATGGTGCACAGTGTTGAGTCTGTGGGTAGTGTTGAGTCTATGGGCAGTGTTGAGTCTATGGGCATGTTGAGTCTGTGGGCAGTGTCAGTCTATGGGCAGTGTTGAGTCTATGGCAGTGTTAAGTCTATGGGCAGTGTTAGTCGTGTTGGCAGTGTTAAGTCTATGGCAGTGTTTGAGTCTATCGGTAGTTTTGAGTCTGTGGGCAGTGTTGAGTCTGTGGCAGTGTTGAGTCTGTGGGTAGTGTTGAGTCTATGGCAGTGCTGAGTCTATGGTGCAGTGTTGAGTCTATGGGCAGTGTTGAGTCATGGGTAGTGTTGAGTCTATGGGCAGTGTTGAGTCTGTGGGTAGTGTTGAGTCTATGGGCAGTGTTGAGTCTGTGGGCAGTGTTGAGTCTGTGGGTAGTGTAGTCTATGGGCAGTGTTGAGTCTATGGGCAGTGTAGAGTATATGGGCAGTGTTGAGTCTATGGTGCAGTGTTGAGTCTATGGGCAGTGTTGAGTCTATGGTGCAGTGTGTATAGTACAAATCCTTACGCCATGATCCGATGTTCCAGTGTGCAGGTGACGTCACCGGTAGAGGCGGTCTGCAGACGCCGTCGGAACGCCCTCCCCCCGTAGGAGGGGTCGATTTTCTGGTTCACATCATCCACCCACAATCATCCACTCACACCCCTCACACCCACTCACCACCCACAATCACACACACACACACCCAGTCACTCACCCACTCACACACCCACAATCACCCACTCACTCACCCAGTCACTCACCCACTCACACACACCCACAATCACACACACACTCACCCAGTCCTCACCACTCACACACACTCACTCACCCAGTCACTCACCCACTCACACCCACAATCACCCAGAATCACCCACAATCACCCACCCACTCACTCGCTCACCCAGTCACTCACCCACTCACACACACACCCACAATCACCCAGTCACCCACCCAGTCACCCACACACCCACAATCACCCACTCACTCACCCAGTCACCCACTCACTCAACCACCCACTCACCCACACCACTCACCCACTCACAACCCACTCACCCCCCCACTTACTCACCCACCCACTCAACCACTCACCCACTCCCTCAATCACTCGTCACTCAACCACTCACCTACCACCCACACCACTCACCGAACCACTCACTCAACCACTCACCCACCCACTCACTCAACCACTTACTTACCCACCCACTCACTCACCCACCTACTTACTCCCACTCACTCAACCACTCACCCACCCCTTACTCACCCACTCAACCACTCACTCACCCACTCACTCAACCACTCACCCACCCACTTACTCATCCACTCACCCACCCACTCACCCACAGGTCCGAGAGAGCCGTGAGAGGAGGAGCAGGAGGAGGCTCGGGCGAACTGGCGGACTGGGTCGCCCAACTTACGCGGTGGTCACGCTCCACTCCCACGGCAGTCGAGCCTGTTCCGGACGCCCATGGCGTCTGCAGAGGCGCTCCTCTCACCCGACCAGGAAGCGCCTCCCACACTTTATGGACGCCGCTGGAAAACCGGCGACGGCCGCCGCGGAGCCGGCGCCGCTGACGGGCGCAGAGCCCCCGGGCACGGCGATCGACGCGCCGGCGGTGGTGGGGTTTTCCGTTGAAGGCTCCGCGTCGAGCGACGCAGCGCCGAACCCAAGAGAGAGGAGAGACGGCGAAGGGTCCCCCTCAAGGAGTGATGTAGGATCACCCTCAGCGGGGCCGATACCGTTGGCTGCCATCGGAGCAGAAACCGCGCAAGAATCCCTATCTTCTTGGTTCTTTCGGTAAAGTCACGTAGAAGGGAAGTAATAAAATAATAAAAATAAAACATAATAAAACAATTCTCACGACGTTTCGGCCACAACGCAAGCAAGCCGTCCTCAGGTGAAAACTAGGTCTGTTGAGGCGACAGCGTCACGTTGCTGTTTATTCAGACGCTGTCTCCCCAACAGACCTGGTTTTTCACCTGCGGACGGCTGCTTGCGTTGTGGCCGAAACGTCGTGAGAATTGTTTTATTATGTTTATTTTTATTATTTTATTACTCCCTTCTACGTGACTTTACCGAAAGAACCAAGAAGATGAATCCCTGCAGTCACGAAAGCTTTACATCGAAAAAATCCCCTAGGCCCAGTGGTAGAATCCCCGAGGCTCTAAAATGGCCGTGCCTTTCAGACAATGGCCTCACTCCCGTGAGCTCTGAAAATCTTATTTCAGCCCTAGGCCGTGACTCCCACATTTAAGCACGATGTGGAGATGATTGTGTTCTGTACGTATAATTCTAAAGCAATTTTACTCAATTCCTAGTAAGGTGTGTGCGTGGATTCCGTCGCGATATAGAATGTTTCCTCTGAGACAAATTCGAAATGTAAAAACATGCTTGAGTATTGAAATTACGTTTTCATTTTAAACAACTGTATCGTCTGTTAGCATGTGCATTGCAGTGTCACCTTGAAAGTATGCTTGAATTCCAACCCCTACACGTCACAAAGTTTTGAACATGTACTTGTATCGCATGTAAATGTACAATTTAATAATTCTGACAAGATTGTTGGCTTGGTTGCCACTGTTCCCTCTATCACCGTGTTTTTTGCAGTAATTTGTACACTGACATCGCTGTGCGTGACAATAAATTAGCCGTCTCTGTCAGGGCTTGGTGTTGCAATGCCACTTTCCCCAACTTAGAAGTGGATAACTCAACAATCCCCAAATGAGACGCGGATAACCGAGTTTACCCGTATTTAGTAGCCTAACACATGGCGATGAGCGTGGTTGACTACGTACGTGGTGAAGACGTTCAGCATACAGAGAGACACGAAGCTATTGTGAAACCCAATGTGTTATTCCTTTTCACTCACATCACGATGTGATACATCAATGTTTCAGACTTAAATCAAATTTCATTATATGTGTAGAGGAGTAAAATGGGGACGTGACGTCAGGTGTGCCGTTCAGTGCGATGACGTCACGTCTCCTAGGAGCACACTCTTAAAGTGAGTGCTCCTAATCTCAGCTTGTTACCTGTATAAAAGACACCTGTTCACAGAAGCAATCAATCAGATTCCAAACTCTCCACCATGGCCAAGACCAAAGAGCTCTACAAGTGTCCGCGACAAGATTGTAGACCTACGTTTGAATGTTGAGCGAGATTCATCGATGTCGTCACGACTGATAATACAACCCTAGACAACTAGAGAGCCAGTAACAAGTCGCGATACACTTTGTGCATAATCGCAAATAATCATAAACACAATACTCTTTGGTTCTTTCGGTAGTCACGTAGGTATGAAAAAAATGTGTTGCGCCCCAAACGTCGCGATTTATTTTATTTTATACCCCACGTGACTTTACCGAAAGAACCAAAGAGTATGGATTCTTGCAGTCACGAAAACTTCAATCACAATAATAACACAACACACATGAATGTGCTGTATCTCAATGGGGGCCTCATTGTTAAGGTCATAAAGCAATAAATAAATCGCAAAGATCCGTGATACATTCTAGATTTGAAGCTTTCTTGACTGCAAGGATTAATATTCTTTGGTTTTTTCGATAAAGTCACGTAGGTAAAAAATTAATAAAGTAAAATAAAAATCACAACGTTTCGGAGGCAACACAAGCTTCCGTCTTCAGGTGGAACCGTCGTGATTTTATTTTATTTTACTTTTATTAATTAAATTTTTTTACCTACGTGACTTTACCGAAAAAACCCAAAGATTATGACTATCCGTGATACAGTTCAAATCAATTCCATTAACACTTCCCAGCGACCTCAGACGGTTGAACAAAAGGCAGAAATTATATTAAAGCTCGTTAATAAATAATGCAATGAAATGGGTGGGTGGGTGTGATGATTACATTAACAAACTCATCAAACGCATTGCACGAACACCGCCCCGTGCGATGTAAAAGCACACAGACAGGGGAGTGACATCCTCTTTTTATTACACGCTTTTATTTAACTCACTCAGTCTGTTGTATCCTCCAAAAAACATCTTCTCTAATAACTCAAATTTTACCCACTTCCCAATGTGCTATCGACTACAAACTTGCAATACCTACGTCATACTGACAACACGGTATTCTCATCATAAAACATCCAAAACATATTTTTTAAACATTTTACACGCTTTTATTTAACTAACTCAGTCTGTTGTCTCCTCCAAAAAACATCTTCTCTAATAACTCAAATTTTTCCCACTTCCCAAAGTGCTATCGACTGCAAACTTGAAATACCTACGTCATACTGATGACAACACGATATTCTATCATAAAACATCCAAAACATATTTTTAAACATTTTACACGCTTTTATGTAACTCACTCAGTCTGTTGTATCCTCCAAAAAACGTCTTCTCCAACTCATAATTTTACCCACTTCCCAATGTGCTATCGACTGCAAACTTGAAATATCTACGTCATACTGATGACAACACGATATTCTATCATAAAACATCCAAAACATATTTTTAAAAATTTTACACGCTTTTATGTCACTCACTCCGTCGGTTGTTGTATCCTCAAATCTTGAAACTCACTTTTAACCGTCTTCACAATGTCGTATCGACTGCAAACTTGGCATAGGTACGTCATACCGATGACAATACTATATTCTATCATTAAACATAACTTCAACATCCGCGAAGCTCCTTCTCAAGATGTGAAATATTCGGTGCCCTTGGCAGCTTTGCATCCCGGGTGAGCGCGCAATCTCCATTTCGCCCCCGCCCCATCAGGCGAAGTTCCAGTTGATTTTGTCGAGTCGAGCCTGAGAAGTCGAGAGACCACGAGGGAGTTGCGTTTGTCGGAGCGAGCGGCGGCCCCGATGTTCCCCAAAAATACGACAGCTTTATTGAGATACCCGATAAGCTCGTCCCTAGCTACCGACAGGCCATGTGACCATTCAGAAGAACTCGCAGATCATTACAGGACTCCTCATTTATCAACGAGATTATAACCACATCGGAGGGGAACCACGGTGGATAGATGTTGATTACCTCGCCTGGTGTACAGGAGGTTGTGGGTTTGATCTCGACCCTGACGACGCCTGCTGCTGTATGTTTGGAGTTGAGTGTCTCTCATCATGGTGGCTAGCAGATGTTGACTATCTCGCCTGGTGTACAGGAGGTTGTGGGTTTGATCTCGACCCTGACGCGCCTGCTGCTGTATGTTTGGAGTTTGAGTGTCTCTCATCATCATTGTGGCTAGCAGATGTTGACTATCTCGCCTGGTGTACAGGAGGTTTGTGGGTTTGATCTCGACCCTGACGACGCCTGCTGCTGTATGTTTGGAGTTTGAGTGTCTCTCAGTCATGGTGGCTAGCAGATGTGACTATCTCCCTGGTGACAGGAGGTTGTGTTGTTTTATCTCGACCCTGACGCCTGCTGCTGTGTTTGGATTTGAGTTGTCTCTCATCATCATGGTGGCTAGCAGATGTTGATTACCTCGCCTGGTGTACAGGAGGTCGTGGTTTGATCTCGACCCGGACGCTGCTGCTGTATGTTTGGAGTTTGAGTGTCTCTACATCATCATGGGTGGCTAGCAGATGTTGACTATCTCGCCTGGTGTACAGGAGGTCGTGGGTTTGATCTCGACCCTGAAAGGACGCCTGCTGCTGTATGTTTGAAGTTTGCGCATCTCTCTCCCCATGGTTGTGTGGATTTTTTCCCGGCACCTCTCGGCTTTTCCCCTCCATGTGCATTGGCCGCTGCTATAAAAGTCCACGTGCAAGCCACCTCATTCGGCGAGGTCGCTTTCGGAAAAAGACCTCTCTATCTCAGTGGGCCTTGCCTGGTGAAATATATAGTAAACAGTTAGTAGTCACATGACCAAGACTTACAATTCCGCAGGCTGCAATTGACAAGAACCCAGGGGTTTGGCAGCCTGACGCGTCGGAGCTGCATGCGGCCTTTAAGGACTGCTTTGTGACGTCATTCATCACGTTGCATTGGAGGCTCTTTAAGGACTGCTTTGTGACGTCATTCATCATGTGCATTGAGGCTCTTTAAGCACTGCTTTGTGACGTCATTCATCACGTGCATTGAGGCTCTTTAAGTACTGCTTTGTGACGTCATTCACCACGTGCATTGAGGCTCTTAAGGGTTGCTTTGTGATGTCCTTCATCACTGCATTGAGGCTCTTTTAAGGACTGCTTGTGACGTCATTCATCACGTGCATTGAGGCCCTTAAAGGACTGCTTTGTGACGTCATTCATGACGTGCATTGAGGCCCTTTAAGGGCTGCTTTGTGACGTCATTCATCACGTGCATTGAGCTCTTAAGGGCTGCTTTTGTGACGTCATTCATCACGTGCAATTAGGCTCTTTAAGGTTGCTTTGTGACGTCCATTCATCACGTGCATTGAGGCCCTTTAGGGTTGCTTTGTGACGTCATTCATCACGTGCATTGAGGTACAGTTCTCGCAATCATCCATAAGTTGAGTTTTTGCCGGGAGAAAGCGCCGAGTAGTTAAGAGTTGAGTTCTTGCCGAAGCAGACTTAAGTATCGCTGAAAGTTTGCCTCGACGCTTTTTTCATTTCGAGTCACTTTGCAGAATAAAGGACTTGGAGAAGTCGTACTGCACTGAGCTAAGAGTTGTGAGCTGAGACGTGGACCAGTGGGAGATTGAGTCGTCGCACACCGGATAGAGTGCCCGGAGCGACAGGCTGTAAAAGTTGTTGGTTAAGCCCATGACTTGAACGTTGTATTTGGTGGAGAGGCCAGGGGAGAGGGGGGGGGGTCACGTGCAGGCTGCTGCTACAGGCAGCGTGCTGGGAGCCGACACGCCGCGTTTGAATGTTGAAGCGAGATTCATCGATGTCGTCACGATTGACAATACAACCCCTAGACAACTAGAGAGCCAGTAACAAGTCGCGATACACTTTGTGCACATCGAAAATAATCATAAACATACATATTAGTCAAGAATATAAATCACAACAATAATACTCTTGGTTCATTCGGTAGTCCACGTAGGTATAAAATAAATGTGTTGCGCCCCGAAACGTGACTTTACTGAAAGAACCAAAGAGTATGGATTCTTGCAGTCACGAAAACTTCAAATAACAATATAACACACACAACAACACGTTTTTGTAATGACACATCTACATTACATTGCACAATCAACATTTCTGAAAACTTTCGAATTTTCACAATGCAATTATTAAAATTACAATGGGTCTCTGTGGGAGTCTATGGGTCTCTGTATGATGAGTTTACGGGTCTTGTGTCTATGGGTGTTTGTGAATCTATGGGTCTCTGTGTGACGAGTCGATGGGTCTCTGTGGGTGAGTCTATGGGTCTCTGTATGAGTCTATGGGTCTCTAAATGATGAGTCTATGGGTCTCTGTGGTGAGCCTATGGGTCTCTGTATGAGTCTATGGGTCTGAGTATATGGGTCTCTGTATGACGAGTCTATGGCTCTTGAGTCTATGGGTCTCTAAATGAGGAGTCTATGGATTTGTGTGATTAGTCTATGAATATCTGCGTGATGAATCTATTGGTCTGCGTTATGAGTCTATGGGTCTCTTTGTGAGTCTATGGTCTCTGTATGAGTCTATGGGTCTGTGAGTATATGGGTCTCTGTATGACGAGTCTATGGCTCTGCGTGAGTCTATGGGTCTCTAAATGATGAGTATGGATTTGTGTGATTAGTCTATGGGTATCTGCATGATGAATCTATTGGTCTGCGTTATGAGTCTATGGGTCTCTTTGTGAGTCTATGGGTCTCTGTGTGAGTCTATGTGTATGTGTGATTAGTCTATGGGTATCTTGCGTGATGAATCTATTGGTCTGCGTGACGAGTCTATGGGTCTCTTTGTGAGTCTATGGGTATGTGTGATTAGTCTATGGGTATCTGCGTGATGAATCTATGGTCTGCGTTATGAGTCTATGGGTCTCTTTGTGAGCCTATGGGTCTCTATGTTACATTATACACTAGTGAGTGGGTGGGTGGCCCAGCAATACGGCTGAACGCATTTGTCTCCCTAGGGGGCAATGTTTACAAACCGCACCAGGTATACAGTATATATACTTATATTTACGCGATTTATAAGTGCCCCCCCAAAAAAAAAGAAAACGGCGCACAAATGGATCCCTGGAA